CCCTAATCCTTGACTTCCAGAAGCTGGGAGTAGATGACAGGGAAGGGATCATTTGATATATTGCCCTGTTCTGTTCATTCCTGCTGAAGCATCTGGCATGTCACTTTCAGAAGACAGAATAGTCGGCTAGATGGACCATTGGTCTGACCCAGTATGGCTATTCCTATGCTCTTAAGAATCAGAATGGTTGAGTTTACCACTGTAATGGAATGATAATCTCAAAAAGATATAGTTTCTTTCCTCTCTGGCTTTTGGAATGTAGATGACCTACAAAAGGGAGAACATTTGATTTTTGTTTTTAATTTAAAAAGGAAAACCTGCAAAAGATGGGCCTCTTACAAGAAATTCCAGTCCTGTTTAGGTTGGATGACTCTATTATGACTGAAGAACTAGTGAAATGTTAAGAACACAAGAACCAACAAAACTGAGAAGGGAAGGTATCTTTAGTCAAACTGTTGAAAACTTTTTTTTTTGTAAATTTATTTTTGTTGACACCTATTGAACTTCAATGTCTAATTAACCTTTTTGACAAAAGGGGCAAATATGTTGAAACTTTTATTAAAAGCTTTTTTACTATGGAATTAGTGCTCACAAACATCCAAGAGGTCCTCCAACAAAACCAAAGAACAACAAACTTGACATTTCTAATGTAGAAAATAAGCAGAAAAAATATTTAAACACATACAACTTTGAAGGCCGTCTTCATCCATTATCAAGAAGCAATAAGGGTTACAAGCCCAAAAATCCTTTCCAGGTTACCTTTAAAGACATTATCACAGAGGTTAGGCCTAAAACTTAATTTTTTATATGAAAAATGTGTGATAGAAAACTTGAATAGAAATAAGAGTACGGAAGAGGGAATGCTTGGGGCATGAAACTTTCTGCTGCCAAGTGTGGTGGATTGGGCCTTCTGCTTAAACACATTTTTGCCAATATGTAGCCTCCACTCACACGTGCACTGGATAACCACATTCATGTGCTCCCTGATGCACACCACCCAAGGACATGCAGGTGAGAGGCCAATGTATTTTTAACAGCATGGTTTAGACATCGAACTTCCTACAGGAAATGCTGATCTTACTCACTCTGAGAACAGCACACGGTGCATGACAACTGCTAAGCAACAGATAGCAGAAGGGAGGAAATACTGTTAATGCTGTAACAAATGTGTGGCCACCTAGGACATAACATTTTTAACTGTGCTACACACCAACCCTTCAGAACTTCTCAGCTCCTAAACCACCAGCTTCCATTGTAACGATTTGTTCACTTGCACGAGTATAACATGTAGGCAGCAGCTACACCTAAGAAAGCTTTTCTTAGATTGAGGCGCGACAGACTTTATTGATGCTTTTTAATTTTTAGAAGTGGAGCCAGAGGGGAATTACGTTTCTCCCAAGCTCCGACTGCTACTTATTGTGATAACTGAATGCGTAAAACCATCTGCTGTAGAGTCATCTGGTAGTGACCGAGGGTATATCTATGCTACAAACGCTGCAGTGGTACAGCTAAATTGACCTACATTTTAGGTGTAGACCAGGCCTGAGACTGCACTAATGTCACCAATCATTTGAGCTAAAGAATAATCTCCACTAGCATTTAGCAGAATGCACAATGACACTGTTTGGAAAAGAGGTCAAATTACTACAAGAGGAAAAACAAGGAAATGTGACTTTTTTGCTTTGCAGGGATGACAGGTAAGGACCCCTTATCTTCTACCATATACTGTAAGGCTTTATGTAAGGCTTTCCAAACATAAGAAATTAATAGCAACTTTTCAGATATATTTGAGGGCCAAAGCTTTAACGTCTGCACTTCACCAGCCCCCATGTGGAGTCCTAGACCTCATCATGCAGAAATTAAAAAGACTTTTTTTTTTCATATTTAAGCCTAGAGCTGAAATGTGTCTTGTAGAGCCTATATTCAGTCTGTTACAGATATGTTAAGACTGGATTTACATAGGAACATAGCCATACCAGACTGGACCAGTGGTCTATCTAGTCCAGTATCCTGTCTCTGACAGTAACCAGTACTAGCTGCTTCAGAGGAAATTGCAAGAAATCCTGCATTAGGCAGTTATAGAATAACCTGCCTTTAGGGAAGTTATTTTCCTAAATTCATTAGTAAGAGACTGATTTGTTCAACAAAGTAGGAAGTTTTCTCTCTCTTCCAAGCTCTTGGTGTTTTTTAAAGTCCTTGCTAATGCAACTCAGGGATTTTTTTTAATCCATGTAAAATAGCCAAATGTTTTGTTCAGTAATTTGAAAGTGCACAGAAGTTACATCACACTTTTCCTTTGCCCCAGTAACTAAAAGCTGGTAATTCTCTCCCTCGGAGAATCGACTGAACTGATACACTTCTGTGAGGATAGCGGGTCAATGAAGGAGCTGTATGTGTTGGCCCCGCTGCACGTTCTATGGAGCACTCAGGAGATCAGACAGAACAGGAGACCGAGCAGGCCCTGAGATGGGAAGTCTCACCACGCCAGGAGACAAATCTGAGGCTCTCAGTGGACTGGCAGAAGCTACTTGGGTCTCCAGTTTTTGAAGTCAAACCTCCCTAGCTGAGAGTAATTGGAGACGCTTTAGATTTACCGACAGACCTGAATGAATTGCTAGTGATGAGCTTTTGGGCCCAACAGCTAGTGAGGAAGCTTTAGGAATTGTCTGCTAGGTGTGTTGCTCTGCTGGTTTATGAAGCCTTCCCCTTCAGGCCTGAAACAGGGGGAGGACCTTTTCAGTTTGCCTGACAGACTTGCTTGCTACCTCTCAGGCTTAGGAGATGCCTCCTCAGAAGCTGCAGAGCAGCCAGCACCATAGTTGCTTTGCTTTTTGGTAACTGTCTCTTGCCTCAATTTTTTAAAAGGAAATTTTCTCCTCCAGCCCCACCTGCCGTGACTGTCAGCAAGAACAAATGGCGTAAAAGGAAGGAGAGGCCATGGCTCCTTCTAATTTAGTGACAGCAGAAATAGAGCTTGGTTCATTCTGTTTCAAGAGATATATAGACCCCTTTCACTTGAGCTACAGGTGAATGTGTTAGCAACATAGGCCACATGACATACAGCTAAGTAGTCTTAATTGTAATATGTTCATGAACAATCTACAAACCAAGATTTAACACACTTTGAATAATTAACAGATTTAAGAAAATATCAGCTTCTTGTGGGCATTTCACAGAAAGAGGCTACGTTCATGGAAAGAATTATGTACCCAGCTCTATTGGGCAATGTCCCTTGAAAATAAGCAGAAAATGCTGGAGACACTAAGTCTTGGAGGACAGCTGGCAAAGCACAAATCTCTTCTGGATTCTGGGACGGAACTTTGCACCCGCTCTGCATCCAGGCTTATCATTCATCCAACAGCTTTATTTGGGTATCAGATTGCATCACTTTTCCTCAAGTATCTTTCACCCCTTCTGTAAATTGATCCTGTACACCTGTCTGACAAATCATCCAAAAACTGGTTCAAGCTCTGGTGTAGCTTGGGATGTACTATGCATATAGGGCAGAATTTTGCTCTCTCTCTTTGGAGCCACATTATAGTCACAGCTGTACGGTGGGACCAGAGACGTCCTGCTGGATGATGGGGGTGGTGGTGGTGGAATGTGATTCTATGGTGAGAACATGCCATTGTGGGTGGGAGGGTGGCATGCTGGGCAGTATAGCAGACAGGTCAAGTTCAGTTATATCTGTGCAACACCACTCCAGTAGCAGGTTTGCACTAGTGTGAAGGGTGGAAGTATTTGGCCCTCTAAGCAGAGACACAGAACTATGAACTTCCCAATGAGACCTGTGCATAGAGCAAAATCTCCATCTTGCTAGGCCACAGCAGGGCCTACCGGGCATTTAATAATAAGATGGGTCAAATTATTATTGGTTCTATGTTGCTCTTCCAAAGTCCGTAACACACTTTACCTAGAACTCAGAAAAGCGTCAAATTCTTCCTTACTTCAAAGACAGTCAGAAATTGCTTTCAGTCCGATTCTTCAGGGGCTGTTCAGACAACGATGCCAAACCTGCAACTGAAGGGGCCACACCCCAGGCAGAAACCAGCTGAAAGTTTCCTGCTCATGTTATGCCACATGGGGGTGGAGCACAAGCTTTCACGCTGGCAATAACTTGAGCATCCTAGAGTACTTGTGGCACCTTAGAGACTAACAAATTTATTAGAGCATAAGCTTTCGTGGGCTACAACCCACTTCTTCGGATGCATATGCTCTAATAAATTTGTTAGTCTCTAAGGTGCCACAAGTACTCCTGTTCTTTTTGCGGATACAGACTAACACGGCTGCTACTCTGAAACTTGAGCATCCTAGGGAATCAGGATGTCTCCCTCTTTTATTGTAGCCCTGGCTCATTGCAGATTTTCCTCTCCTCCTTTTTGAGGACACTTCTATCCACTCATCCCCTTACTTACGACAACACATATATCAGTTCTTAACACATTCCCTATTGCCCCAACCCTCCGAGCTGGCAATGCATAAGAACTTAGGATAGTTAAGAAAAACATTTCATACCAAATACTGGGCCCTGTAGCTGGGAGTGGATGGGATAACATTTGCTTGAACCAGCCCTGTGATAAATATGTGCTGTGGGCACACAAACTTTGCCCAACAAGGTGACTGGTTAGCAGTTTGCCAGGCGCCCAAGGACTGCATTTAATCGGTATAAAATGGAACTGACTGTAGCCACTCTAATCTTTAACACGAAGCTTGTGGCCTTCAGCCAGGATGCTCGGCTTGAGAGAGATCACTGCATGCTGGGTCATGAAGTCTCCATGGGCTGCATCTTATGAGACTGCACTTTGGCAACCCTTGGTTTAGCAATGGCAGACACACCAGCTTTGGTGTGCACTGGCTTTCAGGGACTACATTAGATTTGTAAGAGCTCCTGCTGCTACGCCTGCTATCAGTACAAAATGAATCTCTTCCCCCCCCGCACATCATTAGAATTGCTCACAGAGGTGCAATAATTTATTTGCTGCCAGAATTAGCAGGCTAACAGCCATGGTTAATATTACACTGGCACAGTAAGCAGCTTAAATTAACATTTACTACCTTATGCTCGAATCATAACAAGAGCGTCTTAGTACTGGCCTTCACAGTGATTATGGCAAACCGTAAGAGTTAAAAACCTGAGTGATCACTTTGCTTTCAATCCTTAACAAGGGTTCTCCTTTTCGCGGTGAAGCTTGATGTATCAGGGGTCCCTTGCCTTCCATCCATCTGATTACTACTTTCCTTTCTTCCCTTTCTTTTTGGGGGAGTCAGGCCAGTTAAAGCCACGGAACTCCAGGCAGGCAGCAGCATTGTGAGAAATGTAGTAGGCATTGAGCATGGCAGCTGGGCTCAGGATATCCACTTCGCTCACGGGCTTCTTTGTTTTCTTCCTGGAGCCTTTGGATTTGCTGCGTTTGGATTTGCCACCTTTACCTGCCTGTAAAAGCAGAACAGCAACAAAACACCCAGGGATTGCAAATAGATCTGGATCATGACTGTGTCAGTGCCATCTACAAGAACTCAGAGCACCTCACTCCTACATTGCAATACTACCTTGCTCATCCAGTACTGGGGTCCCACATAAAGCTATATTGCTGCACCACAATCATGATCTGGTGCATGGCAGATCATGTGGTCAAGAGGCTCTGGACCCAGTGATGTTAGTCCAGAGTCTCTTGACCACAGACTATCATCCTGGGTGTGGATTTTGTTATATGGACTAATAGCTATGACATAGTAGGACAAACCCACCAAATCAATATCTACTCTATGGACCAGGTTAGATTG